AACAACCCGATCTGACGGCAATCTTTCTCCGCCTTCGTCTCCCACTGCAGCTTCTATCGCCGCTGCCGCTCGGTGTTACTACCAAGACCAGGGTTGCCTAGTCGAGCGCCTAGCACTTCGATTTCAGGAGCCTCCACGGACGAGCGCCAAGCCGATCGAACGACAGTGGCAAAAAAAGTGAAGTAGAGTTAACGAATGGAACGCAGAGATCAGTTAGTCCTCGTGTTTAAGTGGGCGTGGAAAGGGAAAAGAAGGCGGGATTCTATGGCGAACCCTGCCGGCTAGCTGAGGCTTCTCGAGGCTAATATTTGGCCTTGCTTCTTTCGCGTCCTCTATTTGCCCCAAGCCTTTAATTGTCTTAAAGTTCAAGGGAAGACTTCACTCTATACTATGGCACTGTAATGAAGCCAAAGGTGGGGGGCGGGGGGATAACTTTTTCTCCTGGTACACCCTTGATAGGGATTCCCTGGCAAAAGAATTTCTGATAGGCTGCCAGAAGTCGGAATGATCCTCATGCAGACCCTAGTCTGGCCAACTGCTGAGGGGAGTGTCGAGCCATTTTGCCAAGGTTTCCTTTTCAGCCCAGGCCTTGGAACAAGTGGAAAGAAAGATGCTTTGTACTTTCTCTCTCAAAGCCTAGGAACAAACATCTTTGTAACCATTTGGTCTTTCACGTAGGGGGAGAGTTCAGGAAGAAATTCTTAAAAAAATAAAACCCTCAGCTAAATGCTCAAACATAACAGGAATTTATTTAGGAAAATAAGAAATAAAGGCAGAGCGGTATCAGTGAACAGCTGAGGTTTAGAAAAAAGATGCAAAAGAAGACATAAAAGAGGTGTTCAAATTCAGGTGTTATGTGGAGAAAATGGGGAAGGAGACATTTTTCTTCCTCTTCCATAATACTAAATCCCAAGGTCATCCCATAAAACTAATAGGTGGGCAATAAAAGGAAGTACTTCACACAGCCCATGGGGAAACAATGGCATTCACCTCCACAAAAGACAGTGATGGCCACCAATTTGGATGGCTTTAAAAAGGGACTGGGCAAATTTATGAACGAGAAAGCTATGGGTAATGACCACTAGTCCAACTGGCTATATGCTATACCCGGTATCAGAGGCATATCTATATACACTAATTGCTTGGGATCTTGGATGGGATGGTGCTGTTGCATTCAGCCTGCTTGCAGGATCCTGTGGGTAGCTGTTTGGTCTGCCACTGGGTGAACAGAATGGAGGACAAGACAGATGGTCTTAATTTTTTAAGGTTAACCATCACAACCATAAGAGGAATTCCAACAGACCATCTTATTCAAACAAGTGGAGTCCTAGATCGCAAAGCCTACTCCAAGTTTATTGCAGAGGGGATGGCCTGATTTTCAAATAGATACTACATACAAAAGCTCTAGAAGGACAGAAGGATTCCTTTTTTTTTTTTTTTTTTGGCAGATTTCTGTTCAGTAAAAGCCAACCCTTTAGTAGAGACTGATGGTGTGTCCACACAGCAGCCTTTCTTTCTGAAGTCAGTAAGAAAATTAGAAAATCTGGTTAAAATCAGTCATCCTATTCAAAAAAAGGGTTCAAGGTTTTGTACACATTTTGAAGGACAAAGTGAGATCAGTTCAGAGAAAAATAATCCAGTTTGCCCAGTAGAATGCCAAGTGACCAGCTCTCTAAGAGGCACTGTACATTTATATCAGAAACAGGGCCTATTTCACAGACATACATTTTCACATCTTGTGGAATTTCAGTGTGCATTCCTATACACATTTAGACAGAACCAAATCCTGCAACTCCCTAAACAAGCTAAGACTGTACTCTAAAGCAACCGAAGTTGTCAGCCTATACATATTTTCCTTAGCTTAAGTCCCACTGAAGTCAATAAGTTATTTCTGACAGAATGCATGTGTATAGTATTGCACTGGAATTTAGAATCATAGAACAGTAGATCTGGAAGGAGCCAGAAGACCATCGGGTCCAACCCCCTGCTCAGTGCAGGACTCCAAGTTAAACCACCCCTCACAGATGGCTGTCCATGATTACCTTCTGGAAACTTTTCCTCCAATGAGCTAATGGTAAAGATGGCATGCCTGTTTTTTTCTGCCTTTGTTATCCTCAAAACAATCCTGTGAGGTAGTGTAGCCTGCTTGAAAAATAGTGAGTGGCCCAAAACTACTCTGAACTTGATGGGTGTGCAGGATCTCCCAAAGTGTAGTCCAACACTCCTGAGGCTCTTAACATTTTCTGATGTATCCTGACGTCTGAACATATCCCACTTATAAATGTAGTAGCAACAGTGAATTGAATCAAATCATACACTCATACATTTTCATGCATGTAGCAGCAACAAGGCTACTTTAAGGAGGGAAGGAACAAAATAAATAAATGAAACGTACCCAAGCACTAAAATAATAGTGAAAAATCATTTGGAGTTAGGTAAATACAAGCACTTATATCCTGAGGTCACATATTCAAATTACAAGTAATTAGCAGTGCTTGTAATTAGACAATGTCTATTATTATTATTAACTATATTTTATAATTTCTATATGTCAGATATCAGCTGTTGAATATAGCTTCTCAACATTCAGAGGACAGGATTATATGTCCAAAAAAAAAAAACAAATGGTATGTTTGCAGTGCAATAGATGTGTGTAATCTTAACAAATGATCATTTAGACAGCTGTACTCCTTTTGTCAATCATCCAAGCAGTTACAAAGCCACATGTGAGGAATGGTCTTAAATACAAAGAATATGACATAATCTGTTCTGAAAATTTGGTATGGAGGATCTTGCCTCAATTTACAATTTGTTTTTTCTTTATATAATTTTCCATATTCTTAGCACTCACAGTCATTAAAAGCTCTGCCATGATCTCACCAGGAACGTATGCATTCTAATTACAACACAGATATTAAGGATGGGCGTTTAAGATCCTGTATTAGCTGCTTAAACAACAATCTGCTTTATATGCAGATGAGTTTCATATTGAGCCAGTGTGGTGTAGTGGTTAAGAGCGTGGGACTGGGACTCAGACGATCCGAGTTCGAGTCCCCACTCAGCCATGGAGCCAACTGGGTGACTTTGGGCCAGTCACAGACTCTCAGCCCAACCTACCTCACAGGGTTGTTGTTGTGGGGATAAGATGGAGGAGGAGAAATGATGTAAGCTGCCTTGAGCCCTTTGTAGGAAAAAGGCAGGATATAAATCCATAAATAAAGAAATAAATAAAATATTGCCACTCATTCCTAATCAGTTTTGCCTTAGTCTGATTTCTGAGTTTAGCATGGATTGGCATGGTTGTTTAACAGTAGCCTGATAAATTGACAAGTGATACATTCATTTGGTATTGCAGCAGCACATAGTCTTAGTATTATTGCTAGGACTATAATAGCAATAATAGTTGTAATAATAATTGCTATTGCTTGTTTGAAAATGTAATTATAGTATGCAATTATTGTTACACAATTACTTTGCATAGTTGAAAACTAAATTTGGAATATGGAGTCAATTTTTCTACAAATGACTTCAGAGTTTTTCTTCTCTTCTGCATAATTAGTTCCCAGTTTTCAATAACTTTATTACCCAGTAGTGTCTAGCACTACTAAGGAAACCACCCAATGTGGCTTCCCATAAACCTCTGAATTTGGAAGATTAGAGGCATCCAGTGAAAGTCAGGAGAAGCACAGAAGCTTGGAATGTCTCCATATTCCCCTCATCTTGCAACACACTTAGTTAATTTTGGTCATCTGAATTATTTTCCTGTCCTCCACAAGAAGACTCAGAGGCACCTTCAAGATTACTGAACAGATGGCAGCACCACACTCCTCTCCTTCCCATACTAGCTCCAAAGACTATCATCTTCAGAGCTCAGGCAGTGTGGAAAGAACCATGCTGGCTACAAGGGTGGGAAGAGCCTCTCCAATATCAGAGCCCGAGCTCTAAACTCAAAAGACATTTCCATGGTCAGAAATAGCTTCCAACAATGTTCAGAAAGCCATACAATTGACAGTTCACTGTCCCTCAGACTGTTGGGGGAGGCAGACTATAGCTTGAAAAAAATATGAACAAATTCCTATGCACACTGCATATTAAAATTAATTAAAATTTAATTTAAAATTAAATTAATTAAAATTTAAATTAATCAAAATTAATTAAAATAAAATTAATTAAAATTAAGATTTAAAATTAATTAAAAAATTAAAAAATGTTTGCTCCACTCCCTCGGGCTGCAGCAGAAGCCCAAGATGAGGTGGGGAAGAGCATGTCCATATTTAAGGGACATAGCTACAACACAACCAAGGCACTAAATATAGTATTTTGCATAATGCAGCTGATGACTGCAACTGGCATTTACAAAGAATGAAGCAAAAATACTAAGGATAAATACTGTTAATGCCACTCTTAGTATTTGAAGCAAGTCAGCCCAGAACAATTCCCACAATACACAATGGCTGTATTTGGATGCAGAGCTAATGACTACCATATTTTAGTGCAACCTTGCCAAAACTGGTACTGTCCAGATGAGTTGGACTACAACTTCCATTGGCCATGCTGGTCGGGTATGATGAAGAAGGAGGGACATGGCTCACATGGAGAGGGAGGGAGCGGGAGGGAATGGGAGCAGGAGCGGGGGGGGGGGGGGCCGGAGAGGTGAGCGCAGGTGGCTCCCCAGCTGGGAGAGGGCCACAAGGAGGGAGGGAAGGGCTTCTTTCCAAGGCAAGTGGAGGCGAGGGACAGGGCCTCAGCTGGCTGAGGGGGCATCTCCCGCCTCTCCCTGCTGCAGGGAGAAGAATGGCAGCCGCTTGACGGTACCTGTCAACTGGCCCCCTGTTGAAAAAGTTTGAGGACCCCTGCTCTAAAGAAACTGAAGTCACTAGGTAAATGAGTCAGATTTTGCCTCCCCTTCAGTGATCTTCCAGAATATACTGCTGTACTTTCTCTGATACAATATACGGACTCATCCTCCACTCTGCCCAGTATAATAATGACAACAGACATTTGATCGTATATCACTTTATGTTTATTATAGCTTACAATAAAACATCATAAAATGGCAAAATAAACTATAATCAGCAATGTGAGCAGCAAACAATTAAAACACATCACTCTAGCTATCATAATCAGGGAAGAAAACTCAGGGCAGAGCTGTGCAGATGAGGTGGACAGACAATGTAAATAACTTCCATTGCAATCCTCAATAACTTCCATTTAATTCTATTAGACAAAATAAATAAAATGCATTTTGGGATATGTTTGACACAATCCTTGCCTGTTCAGTTCTCTGATACTGAGTGATCTAACATCAATTAACACATACTTCATTGGGTGCAGCATGATGCATATCAAATGCAGGGACCAATAAAATACGCCTTTCTTCTGCATACATTAACAGTCTGCATTGCTGGTTTACCCATGACTAAGGCTAAAGGATTCCAAGTCATATTGACACATCTAATTGGAAGGAAGTGTGTTGCTTAAAACTTATGGTATATTATAGTTATGGGTTTGTTGATACTATTTTTATTCGTTAATTTTCATACATAGTGTTTGACTGTGTTTCAATTTCTGTGTAGGGGAAGGGGAGCCAGTTACCAAGGCATTCAAACTGTAGACCTCAAGCTAGACCATAATAAAATAAGGAAACTAACCCATAAGAACTTTCACTTAAAGATGTGTATTTTACTATGTCTTAACTGGACCACAAAGCAGACCACCAACCTGTTCTTCCTTTTCCTGTTCCTATCTATGTATCAGTAACACAGGACCAAACACATTGTTTTTATTATCTAATACAGAACCTTCCCCACACTTTAAAGTTGAAATCATATCCACTATTTTATCAGTATTTGTTTCATGGGAAATGTGCAATGAGTCCTACAGCCTGGAAGCTGAAATTTCTGTATTATGATGACAAATAATCATGTACTTTCATCCAGATTTGGTATTTATCTCCTCAGTTCTCAGACTATCAAGTAATTATAGTGTCTTAACAATGTGAAAAATATATTGTAAACAGCAAGCCATTATTTTAAGTTGTAAAAAACCTTCAGTGCTTTGGCAGAAAAGTATAAAAATGTAATTTAAAAGGTGGGTACTTACCAAGGCCCAAAAGTTCAGGAGGCCCTAGAATGGGTTAAGCCTTTTACAATGGAAAAAATGTTCATGAGAAATAGTAGATGATACTTGAATGTGATTATCCAAAGTTATTTCCCTAAGTTTAAATATCAAATCACTCTTCAGCACCCCCTTTCCCATAAAACCCTTGGAGCAACACCCACTCCAATAACTTCCCTTAACTACCCTAAGTATGTACAACTAAAGTAATTGCATATTCTTCCCTCTATTCCTCTTCCCAATTCTTGTTATTACCCATGTGTCATTTTAAATTTGTAGATTCCTATGTTAATACTAAAGAAGCTCTCTTATGCTGAGAATAGAGTTTAAATCTATATTATTCTCATTACTTTTCAAATCAATGCAATCAGTTTTGAATTCATTTCCCTATCTATATTTGCCATCTCAAATTAATGTTCTTATTCAGAGACACTTCAACCTCCCCCCCTTTGAATTTGCATTTGTAAATACTTTTATATACCTTTTGAGAAATCAAATATACTTCAGTACCAATACTGTAATTTTGTAGGTGAAACAAAGCATTCTGTGTCTTTCCCCTTCACAAATGCAGCTACTCCTGGATTAATACAGGCAGACAAAGGAAGTAAATTATGTAGCAGAAAAAAGGAATGTCTATGTAATTTATCACAATGTCTAAGTCAAGTCTGCAATAACTTTTGCTTAGCAATCTGAATTCAGCTGTTTAGAATCTGACTATCTCGTACATAATATGCTTTTCATTACAACTTACAATGCTTACACATTTAACATTTTACCAAGATAATCATCCTCTCTATCCTCTAGTAAGGCAGATCATTAAAAATAAGAATGTACTGAATATGTTCAGCATTCATGGACTCAGACACAACATGCACAAAGAAACCAAGATACCCTGTTAGTTGCAAAATATTCTTCAAAAACAAATTGACCATTTCAAGTGGGTTTGTTCTCGTAGTACCTGTGAATAATCATGTCTCCTTTGCTTTCTGCTGATGAAATGCTAAGGGATATTGGGATTTACTGTGTTTACTTCCACATTTTTTTCTTAAATCCAACTTGGTATGTCTCTTCATATTAACTAAAATGAGTGAGCAGTAACTCCTGCCGAACCCGATAGGCTTCAGAGTCAAGTGATTCCATATGCTCATATTCTTCCTCTGGCTGTTCCATCTGTCCCATTGTTGAGGAAGACCATATATCCAATCCATGCTCAAGAGAGATGTTATGAAGAACACAGCAAGCCAAGATGATGTGGCTGGCTTTCTCTGGAGAATATTGCAGGGTTCCCTTTGTCCCATCCAGACAGCGGAAACGGGATCGAAGTGTCCTGAATGATCGCTCAATTACATTGTGGGTGGCTGAATGTGCCATGTTATATCTGTACTCTGCAGGGGTTTCAGGGATATGCAGAGGGGTCATCAGCCAAGTCCGAAGGAAAAAAGAACTATCACCTGCCAAACAAAAATGAGAATTCCCAAATCAAATATGAGCAAAAGATGCTAGTTTAATCACCAGTAGCTGAAAGTTAAATTGGACATACATCTGAAGTCAGCCCTGCAACAAAGGGAATAGAAATAAAAGTTTATTTGTTCAAGTTTCAATTGTTTAATCTTTGTAAAGCAAGAACTAAATTCTAGTGAGTTTTGTGGCATAGATATATTACATGTCAGTGAACCAAACAGAAATTCTACTGGAACAGACTTTCAGAGAGGTCAGCCATTAAAATGAACTCACCAAGTAGCCAGCCATCTTTGTGCATCCCAGCTTCAAACTGGTTCCTCAGGGCTGATTGCTGCAGCACCATGCAGTCCTGCAAACTGCCTGGCCAGTGTGTTTCTGCACTTAGTAGCGTTCCTCTGGCATCACACACCACCAAGCAGTTTAAAGAATGAAGGCCCTTTCGATTGACATAGGACAAGTCCTCAGCATTGGGTGCCTTTATCGCTACATGGTTGCAATCAACCAGTCCTAGTACCCCTGGCATACCTGCTAACCCATAAAAGTCATCTTTCAGATGCTGCAATGAAACTTCATCCTCTGGAAAATGAATGAATTGAGAGGCCCTCTCCACCAGAGCCTCAGTAACGTTAGCAACACAACGGCTCATAGAGGCTTGGCTTATGCCAATAGCATCTCCCATGCGAGTCTGGAAAGAACCAGAAGTGTAAAAACCTAATGCAGCAAGAATTTGTGTCTCTGGGCTGATGGCTCTTGATCGCTGGGTAGGGCGAGAAAGATTGGCACCCAGAAGATCCACCAGATAGTAAATAAATTGACGTGGGAAACCATACATAGACAGAAGATACTCATCCGTGACATCTTCCAATTTGAAGCGGTCAAGTGTCCTATGACCACGACCATAGAGCAAGAGATCACAATCAAGAACTGCTATGGGAACAGCCATGATGGGTCTATCTTCTTTGGTCTCACCTGCACTGAAACCAGAATAAGTAAATTTAGTACATGAAAAAAATATTATCTTTTTCTACAGCCATCTTCATCCTAGTTAAGCACAAAGTTACCTATTGGCTTAAGTGATCCTGTTTGTGAATGGGAATTCAAAATAAATTAATAAATGTATGCCTTGGTTTTTATTGTTTATTAACTTTAGTTGTTATGATGCTGAACATGAAATTAACAAAATAAAATCAATAGCCATATAATAGTATTTCCTATAGTTCCATTAATTTCTTGAATCCTACCAAATAAACCTTACTGGAAAGATAGGAATGAGATTTCCACAGGATTCTGCAATTAATTTCAGCAAAGGTCCAGTCATGAATCATGGTCATTGTTCCGGCAACATTCTAATGGAAAATTTTTGAAGCTATGTATAATTTTGCATAGAGCCATGGGACATACTTCAGAGTGCAGGAACGAACGATTAACATTGACCTGGGGTCACATGCAATCATGCAGCTGTAAAGGACATGTTCCATAAATAATTATAGCCATGTCGATGTTCTCCCTCTGGACCAGTTAAGCAAGTCTACGAAAGTTTGTTTCTCTTTTCTGCTTTGGTATATAAAATTAATTGACATGTACCAGGCATGAGGGTGTGAATCAGTGATACTTACCTTGGTGTTATTTTTAGAAACATGAAGTATTGAAAAATGGAGAGTTAATTTGTTGTAACTCTTGTCAAAAACTGTGAATTCCTGCAAGATTCGCAGGATAGCTTTTTCTTTCATTCAGCATATACAAAATATAAAACTCTAGAAGGTTTAGAGTTGCTCAAAGAATATGAACATGGAATAGAACTACACACCTACAAGGGCATGTGACTTAAACAGAGAGGCACCACCCATTCACTCTCCTCCATTATTAAGCAACTTCATCACAAACCGTCAGAGGGAAGTTGTTCTGGGAGCCAGAAGAAGTATCAGTCTTGTAAAATTGAAGTTTCAACAAAGTAAGTACTATTTCTTTCTAGCCTGATTTTTTCCCCATGTCTGTCACTTTTCCATGTAATTAGAACAGAAAGAAAACAATTAAGAATCCAGTCAAGTGGCAACAAGAAGGCCACATTGCAATCAAAGATAACCTATAAGGCTACAATTATATCTGTACTAGAGAAGCTATGTCTTCTTCTGGGTTTAATTGCTGGAAAGAACCTCCAGGATAAAAACGTAATTTTCTTTACCTGCTCTTTCCTGTCTTTAGCATAGATTTTTTTTCCCTTCACATATACCCATATATCACCTTCAGAATGTGCAGACAAGATTTAATTGTAAACCTGGTTTGCAGGTTCTTGTAGGTTATTTCATCCATGCCAAACTGCAGTGTCAAAGGATGGCACTTTGCTCAGGGGGTTACCATGTTGTAAAAACCTAGCAAGTATGTGGTATATGAGAGTTAAAAAAAACCTTTGCAAAATCCACTGCCTATTTTAGGATTGAATATGCAAAATGACAGCTGCACTCAGCCAACAGTGTACTGCCATGTCCTCTGAAATGGGCCTTTTATGGCTTATTAGCTTTATTTGTCAATTAATCTGCTAAAAAATAGTGACTGAGCCACTAAGTAAAATTTACATTATTAGAAGATGAGAGTCAATTTGATCCACTTAAAGCAACATGGGAAAGAGATCTGAGAATGAATATTAGTAATGAAGACAGGGAAAATATCTGGGCTAAGAGGATATTACAGTATATATCAGTAAGAATAAAGGAGTTTTTTAAATAAATTAGTATGGAAATGGCACCTAACTCCAGTAATGTTGAATCACATAGATAGCAATTATTCCAATATATGTTGGAGATGCAGTCATGGAGTGTGAATATTTTATCATATGTGAATATTTAATAAAATTTTGGAAAGAAGTTTTTAAAGAGAGTAGTATGATATTAAGTTTAAATAGTGAAATATGTCCTGAGATTGCATTACTGTCAATATTTTATAGAACATAATGGAGTTGGAATATTAAAGAATTAATAATGCACTTAACAGCTGTAAGATTAATTATAATTAATTACAATTAATTATAATAATTTCCAATTCTTTCTAAAGAATTGGAAATTAAAACATGAATATCAAGGATTGATTGGTATAGAAAAGTTTGGAATATAGCTATTAATGACAAATTAACTTGTGATATTAAAGTGAAAAAGGTTGTGTAAAAAAGAATAATTTTGATTATATTTGGGTTCATTTATTGTATTTAAAAAAGGGAAAGGACTTGAATCTTCATAAGAGTCATTGCAATTTTGGAAGAGGGACAGAGCTTTTTGGAAGAATTTTTGAAAGAATTTTTAACATGTATTCAGTGGTTCCAGCACTGATTGTTTTCAGTGTTTCATTTTAACAATATGTTTCCATTTTATTGTACATTTTTCTTTTAATTGTATTCAGTATTTTTAAAATTAATACAATTTATTTTAAAATTATGTTAGGTAGACCAAGAACTTTGATGCCTATCCCTCCTGCAGGCTTTTCATTAAAAAAGAAGTACAGAGAGGTTGTTATGTGCCATCAAGGCATCTTCAACTTATGGTAACCCTATTAATGCAAGCCCTCCAAAATGCCCTGTCCATGACATTTCAGCTCTTCCAAGTTCAAGGCTGTGGCTTCCTTTATGGATTCAATCCATTTCATATTTGGTCTTCTGCCTTCAACTTTCCCTAACACAATTATCTTCTCCAGGGAATTTTGCCTTCTCATGATGTGTCCAAAGTATGACAGCCTCATTTTTGTCATTTTTGGTACTAGGGAAAGCTCTGGCTTGATTTGATCTAGGAACCACTAGTTTGTCTTTCTGTCAGTCCTGGGTATTTGCAAAGTTCTCCTCCAGCACCATGTTCTGAATCCATCAATTTTCTTCCTGCCAGCTCTCTTCACTATTCTGCTTTCACACCCATACGTTGCAACTGGGATTGCAGTAATGTGTATAACCTTGCCTTTGGTCTCCAGTAAATCATCCTTACACTCAATTATCTTCTCTAGTTCTTACATCATTTAGTCTTCTTCAGAAACTCTTTTGAACCGATGACTGAGCCTAGGTATGTGAAATCTTTCACAATTTCAATTTCTTCATTATTAACAGTAAAGTTCTTCTGATTAGGGTTAATTCTTCTAATTACTGCTAACCCTAATTTTTCTGAATGTTTATTTTCTTAATATTCAGCTGCAGTTCTGCTTTTGTATTTTCTTCTTTCACTTTTATCAGGAGTCCTTCCAAGTCATTGCCATTTTCTGCCAGTAGTATATCATCTGCATATTTTAAATTATTGTGGTATATTCCACCAATTCTGTTCCTCCCTCTAGTCCTAACCCTTCTTTCCTTATGATATGTTCTGTGTACAGACTAACAGATAGGGAGATAAAATGCATTTTTGTCCAACACCTTTGCCTATGGGAAACCGTTCTGTTTCTCTGTATTGTGTCCTAACTGTAGCTTCTTATCCATGATACAGGTTGTGCATCGGGACAATTAAGAACTGAGGCACATCCGTTTCTTTCAGGACCATTCATGGTATCCTGTGATCCATTCAGTCAAAGAATTGCCATAGTCTATAAAACATTGTTGTTGTTAGTCGCAAAGTTGTGTCCGACCCATTGCAACCCCATGGACAACATTCCCCCAGGCCTTCCTGTCCTCCACCATCCCCCGGAGTCCACTTAAGCTCACACCAATTGCTTCAGTGACGCCATCTAGCCACCTCATTCTCTGCCATCCCCTTCTTCTTTTGCCATCTATTGTTCCCAGCATTAGGCTCTTCTCCAGGGACTCCTTCCTTCTCATTAGGTGGCCAAAGGATTTGAGTTTCATCTTCAGGATCTGGCCTTCTAAAGAGCTGTCAGGGTTGATCTCCTCTAGGACTGACCGGTTTGATCGCCTTGCGGTCCAAGGGACTCACAGGAGTCTCCTCCAGCACAATTCAAAGGCCTCAATCCTTCGGCACTCAGCCTTCCTTATGGTCCAGCTTTCACAGTCATACATTGCAACTGGGAAAACCATAGCCTTGACTATACGCACTTTTGTTGGCAGGGTGATGTCTCTGCTTTTTAGTATGCTGTCTAGATTTGTCATAGCTTTCCTCCCCAGGAGCGAGCGTCTTTTAATTTCTTGGCTGCAGTCCCCATCTGCAGTGATCTTGGAGCCCAGGAAAATAAAATCTGTCACTACCTCCATTTCTTCCCCATCTATTTGCCAGGAAGTGAGAGGACCAGATGTCATGATCTTAGTTTTCTTAATGCTGACTTTCAAGCCAACTGTTGCACTCTCTTCCTTCACCCGCTTCAGGAGGCTCTTTAGTTCCTCTTCACTGTCTGCCATGAGAGTGGTATCATCTGCATATCTGAGGTGGTTGATATTTCTCCCAGCAACCTTAATTCCAACTGGTGATTCATCTAGCCCTAGTTAAATAGGCAGGGCGATAGTATACAGCCTTGCCAAACTCCTTTCTCAATTTTGAACCAATCAGTGGTTCCATGTCCAGTTCTCACTGTCGCTTCTTGACCCGCATATAGGTTTCTCAAGAGACAAATAAGATGGTCTGGTACTCCCATCTCTTTAAGAACTTGCCACAATTTGTTGTGATCCACACAAGCAAAAGCTTTAGCATAGTCAATGAAGCAGAAGTAGATGTTTTTCTGGAACCCCCTAGCTTTCTCCATGGTCCAGCGTATGTTGGCAATTTGATCTCTAGTTCCTCTCCCTCTTCGAAATCCTGCCTGTACTTCTGGTATTTCTCGGTCCACTTACTGCTGGAGCCTAGCTTGTAGGATTTTGAGCATAACTTTGCTAGCATGTGAAATGAGTGCAATGCTGCGGTAGTTTGAACGTTCTTTGGCATTGCCCTTCTTTGGGATCAGAATGTAAACTGACCTTTTCCATTCCTGTGGCCACTGTTGAATTTCCAAATTTGCTGGCATATTGAGTGTAGCACTTTTACTGCATCGTCTTTTAGGATTTTGAATAGCTCAACTGAAATACTGTCTCCTCCACTAGCTTTGTTGTCGCTCAGACTTCCAAAGGCCCATTTGACTTCACATTCATATTCTAGCTGGGATTCACACCAATTCATTCTCTAAAGCTTGGCATGGATTTATTGATATTCTATCTACTCCAGGTGCTATATTCTTTGTATTTTCAGAGCGGCTTTCACTTCACTTTCTAATATAGCAGGCTCTTCCTCACAGGATTCCTCTTCAAAGGAGTCTGTCATCTTCTTATTGCTTCTGTATAGTTCTTCTGTGTATTGTTGCCACCTTCTGTTTATTTTCTTCTGGTGAGATAGTATTCCACCCTGTTTGTCTTTTAGCATTCCTAAACTAATATGAATTTCTTTTGGATTTCTTGAATCTTCTGGAAGAGATCCACATACTGGCTTTACACTGGATCAATTAAGTCATGCTCATCAGCAGAGCTGATTCCTCCTACCACTTGGAGCACCATTAAAAACAAATGCTAACACAAAAGTAATAGAAAGTGAAGTATGCCTAGCAGATTATTCCGTGTCAGTAATGGACAAACTCATACATCTACTTCAAAAGTCCCCAGTGGTCTTAAGCAACCAATTGTTAAATCCACAATTAATAGTTATAACTGATGTGTTTGTGATATCCATAACATTTTAAAAAGAGCTGGAATGTATCTGGAAATGTGGATACCTCAAGCATAATGAATAGCTCCTATTCTGCCTTGCAATTTACATGGGGTGCATTTAGCTGAATTATATATTTTCAGGAGAGGGAAATGCAATAGCCTTACTCAGTCCAAGTACATGCGGAGTCCCTGAATTCCCAACATGCACCACGAGAAAGATATTCACCTTATTTCAGAAATGGTCAATTAATGGCATGTAAGACCCTAAAGCATTGTATCGAGTCCCTGATGCCCCTGCTAAATTTTAATCAAAGTAAGTTTTAAAAGTTTTGGGGTGAAACTGTTGACAAACTTTTTAAGAAATTGAAACTATTTTATACAAAGCAGAGATATTTCCCACTTCAATGTTAAATTTCTCTTTGGGATGTTGTATGTTGTATCTTATGCTAGAGAACATAGGATCCATTATTCTAACACCTCTACTGCAAGATGGCAGCAACTTTACTGGTGCCAGTAGAGAGGAGAGGGGGGAACTGTGCAGCAGAATACCCTTGCAACCCATGACCAAAGTTGTCATCAAGAATACAGAAGCTGGTCATTTTACTTTATTAAAAATAAAAGAGTGTTGTCTTCAAGCTCCCTGAGAGGCTTGGTTGGGCCACCAAGGATCACTTCCCTGAAGAAAGAATAGTGTTGAAGACAGAAAGACAAGTAAGAGAACAAAGAATGAAAACAAGAAATAAAGATTAATAATTCTAATGTGGAAAGTGAGAATAAGAAAATCCCCAGGAAAAGGGAAAACCAGAAGAAGCTGGTCAACATTTCAGAATGAAATTAATTACAATTAATTAAAAATAAGAGTTCTATGGCACCATAAAGACTAACACATTTATTCCGGCAGAATAAATTTGTCGGGTCGGCGAAAGCTCATGCTGTCACCATAAATGTGGCACTCTTTAAGGCGCCGCAAAACAGGTGCTTTTGATGCACAGACTAATAGGTACCTCTGTGGAAATTAGGCTTGAAAAAAGTGACTGTGAACCAGTGGGCTAACTGGCATGCACATTGCAAGAGCATCCTTTAAAACGAAACTTCTCGTAACCCCAGTAAAGGAACTTGTAGCGGAAAGCAGCAATCTGAGGGCGAGGAGGCTGCTTTGGAGTCGCCTGGGGGGGGGGGCTGCATTTGACAGGAGATAGGAGAGTCGGGGAAGGGCGACTGAAAGCAAGAGAGGGGGATATCGACTCTTATTTCGCAGCGTGCGAAGAAAAAAGTTACGCATTCACCTCCCTCTCCAAGCCCCAGATTTACCCCTGTGGCGCAAAGGGAGCAGGTCTCGGTGTCCCTCAACAGCGAGGTGGAGCTCCCGTTCCCCACTGACGACGCCGAGCCTGCTTTTTCCCAAACGCAGTTTCCTTCCGAGATGGGGCTTTTTCTAGGAGCTGGAAGCTCTCTCAGACAGATCTACCGGCGGCAATAAGGGCTGAGGCCTAACCCACTTCCGAGGGTGAGGAAACAAGTTATCGTAGGGAAGCAAATGAGAGGTTAGTTGGTCTTTCTTCGCATGGAAAGTGCCGACGCGGATGTACAGCCGACTGCCTCGTTTGGCCGAAGCGGATAAAAACAAACATTAGGAATGGCGGCGGTGACGGAAGCATCCACGGAAGACCAAGGAAGGTTACGGTCTTGAAGTACTTCTGGCCCACTGAGGTTTTCGACGGAGAAATCAAGTCTCGGGGCAAACAGAGTGGCCGCCTGTTCTTCTGGTTTAGTCCTTGTTGGCCTGTGGTCGCCCTCGACAGAGCGCTACAGCTGAATTCCCATTCGTGAGCCAACCTCGGGCATTTTCACCCCTTTCTCTGGGCAGGAGCTTGGGAGAATCGTCTCCGGAACCAGGGCCTTTTAGCCCTAGGGCTAAAGCCTATTACCACTACAACCCCCCTGCCCAGCAAGGGAGAAGCGTGCGGCTAAGAATTGGACCCCTCACTCCCGAGACTGAGTTGCGGAAAGCTTTACCCCGCGCGAGAATTGGGGAGCATCTTAATTTCTCCAGTTGACAACGGAGGCGAGAACTGGATAGGCCCTTTCGACTGGGATTCTATTAGAATAAAGGTCTTTCCTCTGAGTTACTGAGAAGACCGCTCCGCAGAAGACATTGCCTTCCACCGGCGTTCCAACATTTGGAAGATCTGCACGAGGCGGAGGAAGAGGCTTTCCCACCCTCTAAATTAAAATTTCTCAAAGCCCCACCTGGGGTTGGCCATGTAGAAGGGCTAGAACAGCCTCTGGGCTCTTACCCGGAATGAGACCCCAAACTTTCACCTCAGCCTTCTCCATACAGGTGATATACTTATTTATCTATTACATTTGTATCCCACTTTTTTTTTCTTTTAAGGAACTAAGATTGCCTTTCTGAAGTAAAGTAGGGTTTCCTATAGACTGGAGTAGAGTTGGGATTGCAGAATGTGGCTAAGTGGGACAAACAGTGAATCTTAGGCTGGTGTGCGGAACACTGATAGTAAGGAAAACCTGGTCATGAAGACTGTTTCTTTGCAAGCATAATTTCTTCAGTAGCCACTTCTTTACTTTGAAAAACTTGTTATATAGGAAGTCTGGGATGCCATGGATCAATTAAATCTGTTCCAATCCAACTTTCAATGGATAGGGCCTAGAAGTTAGTGCTAGTATCTTCTGTACTTCCTGTTAGCCTTTGTTCATTGGGATCCTCAAATTCTGTCTGATTCTCTATGCTTTACCATTGACATGAAACTATTGGATGAAATCATTTGGAGGTTGGGCTGAACTGCCTTAGCATGCAGATGATGGACAGCTATACCTCTTTTCTGTACCTTTTCACCCTGGTGGAAATCTTGAACAGGCAACTGGGAGGAGTTGTGTAGTGGAGGAGGGCAAGCAAACTGAAACTTAATCCAGACAAGACAGAAGTGTGGCAAGTTCAAATATGATCGTTTGAACTTATGACGTTCACCAGTTGTAGCCCTATCTAGTGAAGGAAGCTCTCACCTTGGTGATGGATGTATTGCTTGTATCCAGATCAGACCACTGTACTGCACTCAGCATAAAAATGGTTTAGAAGCTTCAGATAGTATAAAATGCATCAGTGAAAATGCATGTAGGGGCTAGGCATTTTGACTGGATCACACCTATTCAGTTGAGTAGCATTGGCTGCCTAGTCATTTCTGATCCCAAATGTAAGGTGCTGGTATTAACCTTGGAAGCACTAAATGGTTTGAGAACAAGCTATCTGAAGGATGCTTGCACTTATATGTACCTGCCTTCATGGTAAGATAGCAATTGAGGTCCTAGTTTCTGGTCCATCTGCAAGAAACTCTTTTCTGTAGTGACTCCACATCTCTGAAATACCTTCCTGAGAGAAATGTCTTGTCTTGTGTTGTCTTTTACCTTTAGGTGGGTTCCAGAAGCCTTGTTATTCCAGTCAGCCTTTAGATAATTTGTGGTTCTGTAACTCCTTTATTAGTAGCTACTGTTTTGAAGTTGTATTTGCTGCCATTGTTTTTATCATGTTGAGTATATAGATCTATTTCCTCTCTTGCTTTGTCTATGTGATCTTACTGTATTTTAATATTTTAATGCTGTTTCTTAGTTGCAGACTATTGTAAGCCATTTTGGGAGCTAAATATATCCTAAAAGCAGGCTTAAAATCTACTAAATAAGTATTCAAAATAATGTCATCAAATATGACATTCAAGTGCACAACCTTAAATATAAATCCAACTATATTGCTGGATTTGAACATATGTGGTACAGAACTTGAGTATATCTGTAACATTTGTTTCTGTGGTATGAACTTACCTAGACCAAATTTTATTAATAGCAGTGCTGATAACCTTGACCCCAGTTGTGTTTGAAATTGACTGTTAATTATTTAAAGCATCAGTGTCCAAAGAGTTCCAACAACACATAGTTCCTCTATTCACTAACAATCCTTATCTCATGTGGGCATTTCAGGGTCATTCTGCCAGTCTTTACTTAGTCCTCATCATGAATTTTTTGCTTGTGGAACATTTCTAAATATTTCAGTCAACAAGGTTGAAGTACTGTGAGACTTTCTAAGTGACAGAGCCACAGCCTAACACAAATGTTAATCTACTGAAACTTAACCGTGTAGTTACCTACTGTCCCCAAAACCAGCAGAATGAGGCATGAGTGTGCTCATTGCCTACAGAATGTTGACTGACTGAATAACTGGGGTACAGACAGTAAATCAGGAAGTGGGGGAATGAAATAACCATGCATGATTGCTTGCTGGAAGCCTGGCTAGAAACACTTCACAGTATGCCATTTTGTTACAGGATCCATTTGTATTAGATTATCTTGGTGAGTAAAGATAATATTTTATATATTATGTTTGTCATGTGTTTCCCTCAGGAACCTCAAAAGCTGCCTTTGGGCTCCCAACTAGTCTTTTATCCAGGCATTAACCAAGCTAAGGCCTTATATTTTTAAAGGGGCTGTGGTGTTCTCAGTCAGTTATCTGGGTCCAAGAAAAACTAATGATGAGGTGGATATGAATTCAATTCAAAGATAATTATTTTTTTCAAAGTGTCTACACCTAATTTGGAGCTCTGCTTTGTGTTCCCTGCTCCTCTTGAGAGATGGTGATGCAATTGTTACCAAGGCAACAGATTCGTTCAAAACATGGTGAGATAGACATATGGGGACCAGTTTCTTAAACAGTGTGTGAGTTACTTTTATTTTGTTTCTTAATCAAGATGTTCCTTAAGGTTTTGTGGACATCATTGTTTTTGTACTGGAAATGTTTAATTGGAAAGCATTATGAATTATGGAATTGTCTCCTACGGAGTTTGACCACAGCTGCTTCTGCCCATTAATGGCCACCCTGAACAGCAAGAGATTTCTAGGTTGTCACGTAGGAAGAGCTTTATCATATGTCTGGTACTTGAGTTCTTTTTAACTGAATATTAAAAATGGGAATACTGCATATACTGATTTTAGTATAATAGGACGGCATACAAAAGCTTTTAATAAATAAATGAAACTGTATGGTTTACCACTGAACTACTTTGGCCTAATGCAATTAATCTGTTTAGAATGATGTGTAATCCAGGCATCACAAAGTATTGCTAGTAGTCTAGAACCTGTGTAGCCATCGCTGCACTGAACTATGACTAGCATATTGTCTTTCCAACATCATTTTGTCATTCCAATGAAGTACTATATGAGACAGGATTAAAAAGGTAAAGGTAAAGGTTTCCCCTTGACGTTAAGTCCAGTCATGCCTGACTCTAGGGGATGGTGCTCATCTCTGTTTCCTAGCCGAGGGAGCCAGCGTTTGTCCGCAGACAGTCTCTGTGGTCATGTGGCCGGCATGACTAAACATCGAAGTGCACGGAACGCTGTTACCTGCCCATTGAAGTGGTACCTTTTTATCTACTTGCATTTGCATGCTTTCGAACTGCAAGGTTGGCAGGAGCTGGGACGGAGCAACGGGAACTCATCCCGTTGTGCAGATTCGAACTGGCGACCTTTCGATCTACCAGCACAGCAGTTTAAACCACTGCGTCACCTGCAGTCCCTGAGACAGGGTTACCTATTCCTTAACCAGCATTATTTCAGTTTATTTTTCACCAAGCAAGGAAAAAGAAAAAATGCCAGAATTGAGAACAAACAGTATAATCCTATACATGTTTACTCAGAAGTAAATCACATTGCATTCAGTGGAGATACTTGTAGTAAATAGGTATAAGATTGCAGCAAAGAAACTAACACAAAGGATATTACTGCTGGGAATGTTTAAGGCATCATATTAGAACAGCATTGTATCTTCCACAGTATCAGTATAACTAGTTATTTTAGTAGGTATTTGCTTAATGCTATTATCTTTAAATCATAGGTCTCATGACAAGTGGGAAGAGTGTTGATCAGAGCAGCTTTCCCCCAAATTAGTGTCCTTCAAATGTGTTAGACTACAGCTCCTGTTATTGCCAGCTAGCATGGCCATCGGGGGGGTGGGGGGGACGGACCCACTTGGGTAAGGCAGTGTCTTCTAAGATTTAAAAATTTATTTCAATTTTAAAGAATACAGACCCTAATGCAGAGAAAGCCAGACTTTTTGTGCCTTTTTGTTAAGGTTCCAATTTAATATGTATACATTTAATACTTGCCATTTCAGGTGGCAAATGGCCACTACTTACTGTAATGTAGATCTCTCTATATAAGGAAAGACATAAATGCATGCACATACATTGAGCTGTTTAGTATTCTGTTCATCTGAAGTTGTGATGATGTAATCCAGCTGCTTGGCAAAAGCAGAAAGGAAAAGAGCATGGAGTGATGAAGTATTTATTCAAAGAACTAAAGAGGGCTTAAGCATCAACAGTCTTCTGTTCCCTTCTCTGTTTCTCATGCTCTGAAAATAGGGAGTCTGCAGTTGGCAGAAAGCTGGTAATAGGTCCATAAGTTTGGGTGTCTTTTCTGCAGGGGTAACACTTGATCCCATGTACATACTAATGACCACTGATGTGGGGCAGAAAATTTTCCAATGTTATATTTTTCCATGGAAAATTTTCTACACCATCTAAGTCACTATATATTGGCTATATATAGGTTATAAACTTCTATAAGTTATTATTCGAAGGCAAGCATTGGCAAACACTGTGGGTGAATTGAAAAATATGGTATGACAACCCCTTCCTGTACACAATGCAGTTGGATCTTGGCTGGGCCTGTACCAGATTTATAAATGGTGTATTTATCTTCTGTTGCTAGCATTCTTTAGTAACAAACTGAAAGGAAAGAGAAATTGAAATGACTATTGTAATTACTATTTGTTTCACTTAGGAACATGAGAAGAGGCAGGTTAGACCAGACTGAGAGTCCATCTAGTCCAGCATTCTGTTCATATAGTGGACAACCAGTAACCTGTGGAATTCCACAAGCAGGACAGGAGTGCAGTATCACCCTCCTGTCCAAGTTCCTAGCCTTGCTCACAGAACTACATACTCTTTTAGAAGTCAAATGTTCATTGGTTGTTCTGAAGCCAATTTTTTTGAACTTGTGAAAGCAGTGCAGAGAGTGAATGAAGCTGCAAGTGCTATAGTTACTCCTTGGGTATATTTTTATTTATTTATTTATTTTTCGATTTATATCCTGCCTTTTTCCTACAAAGGGCTCAAGGCAGCTGACATCCTCCTCCTCCATCTTATCCCCACAACAACAACCCTGTGAGGTAGGTTGGGCTGAGAGTCTGTGACTGGCCCAAAGTCACCCGGTTGGTTCCATGGCTGAGCGGGGACTCGAACCCAGATCGCCTGAGTCCCAGTCCCTCGCTCTTAGCCACTACACCACACTGGCTCTCCTTATATATCCTATTATTAAAATTATATAAAATATATTATATTTTATATATCCTAAAAACAGTGTGTTCTTTAAGGTGTAGTCATTTTTGTTAAACATAAACATAAGAAACTAAATGCTATTGTCTTTACAGGTTTACAAATATTCCAATACAAAAATGACCATATTTATTTTATTTTATTTTTTTATTTGTGTATTTTTATCCCATCCAATTATGACATGTCTCTGGATGGCTTACAAAAAGAACACCCAATAAATACATATAATGTGTTGAATATGTTTGAAGATAACATTTAAACTATATTGTGTGTTCTGTTTGTGTTATAACTTTGAAAATAACATTTAAGCTTTATCAATTTAATTTTCTCTTAAATATTTCACTTCAAATATTTTGCAGCTGTCAGGATATTTTAAAATACTTATATTGCACATGAAATTGACATGGAATGAATTTTTGTTATTTTTCCAGATATGTGATATTTTCTGTGCTTAGTGAGGGAGAAGGTGTGTTGGGGAGTAAACATTAGTTGAATAGGTGAAATCAGGTTACATTATTTAGAGCATTGGACAATTTTCTGGAAAATGTTCCAGTTCTAATTTTTCTGAAAAATATACAGCACTGCTGTAGTTACTCATTTGCAGTGCCTCCTTTGCTGGCAAAGTTGGTTGTTTCCCTTTTTCCTGTAAAAGATTGGGGGCTACTGTCTCTTGAAGATCCTCTTACTTGCCTCTTTAGGCAAAAGAGTGAAACCAGGAAGTGATTTGTATACCTGGAGTAAAAGAATCCCATTAAAGTTCTACTTTACTTTGTGAGAGGTAGCAGACCTATTATACTACTTTAGAAAAAAGGAAATAAAAGCAGCAGAAATTAAGAACATAGAATAGAATTCGCCTTGAAGAAGTTATCACCATGAAGAACAGAGAGAGATGTTTAAAATATACAATAAATACATCATCTCTGATCAAATATCTGATCCTGTGCTAGAATGCCTAATCTGCATGTGTTTTGAAAAGGGCAGCAGTTTATATATGTTGGGGTAAAAACGTACAAAATTTGGCACCCAAAATAACTGACACATCCAAGGATAGAAAGCAGGAGCTCCTACCCTACTCATAGCTATAAGCATCCTTGCATTCTGATGATGTTGGGAGGACCTCTGTATTGAAAGAGAAATAATCTGTAATTCAGGTACCAGTCTATTCTGTACCATTGGTTGATCACTGAGGAAAACCTTGTAATATATTACAAATCTATTTATTATTTGTTATATTTATACCCTACTTTTCCATTAAAATGTGGAAGGTGACTACTATTAGCTGTACTCTTCCAGTATACTCTTAAAATGATATAAGTGTTTATATGATTTTGACTTGTGAAATTTCATTTTGTGCAAGCAGACATATATACTGTTTCCAACCACAGCTTAGACAAAATATGTTGATAACTTTTTGTTGTATATTGTGTTCAGGCAGTCATAGTTTTCATGATAACAAGGTAGCTTCTGTTCTGATTACAAGAGATAAAATAGTTTACTGAAGTCCAAACTTTTCAGCAGCAAACACACTGTTCATTATTCACATGTACTTTGCTGTTTTGCTCATTGCAGAACATACTGCATTGTTAACAATGAATTTTGCCATGAGTTTGATTGTGAAACATTCTGAAGAATATATAAGGGGGAGGGGCAATCTTGCAGCTCTTTAAAGAAACATATTGTCCATATGCTTTCTTAACTAGCCCTACTTAGATGCACACATGTTATCTTTACCAGATATATAGCTACAGTAGTTCTGTTTCATGCCAGATACCAGCTTGTCTGCCTATTTTATTTATTTCTTAGATCTATAACCTGCTTTTTCCTTACAATCAACTCAAACCGGCTTACATAAGTCTCCAATTTTGGCTCTCAGTCTGATCCCCACAACAACCCTGTGAGGTAGGTTGAGCTGAGAATCTTTGACTGCCCCAAAGTCACCCATTTAGCTCCATGGCTGAGTGGGGACTAGAACCCAGATTGCCCGAGTCTCAGTCCCATGCTCTTAACCACTATACCACACTCGCTCTCTGCCTGGCCACTCAGGTAACACAGTTACAGGACATAACACCAACTGTAGCATCATATGCTCATTACCTGCAATAAGATCAAAGCTAATGAGGTGCTCTCCCCACTGAAATGCCATGAGGAAAGTTTTCCCTCAAAACCCTTTCTTTAAAGGGGCAGTACTAACATTTTTGCGACTGCCTGCCCATCCCATTGTGCTCCTAAGGAATACAATTAGCCATGGATTCTGCATGTATTTAGGATGGCATAAAATCTGTTTTGCATATATTAGGCTGGGTATGAGATATCCAGGATACTTCTATACAGACTGCTGTTCTGATATGACAATGCTGTAATTTTTTAAAATTCTACCTGATGACTAAATTTATCAGTTACTTAGTTCTGGCAAATTCAGCACAACTTCATTTGCTCATGTAGTTTTCAAGACAACTGATTCTGACAAGTGCATACAGCTAGCCAGTACAAAAAATATAACTTTTACTGATACGCATTGTCTTCATTGGTTGCTCTCTATTAGTCTAGTGGTGTATTAATGTAAATATGAAACCTCAAGCCAAGAGATTAAGTGTTTCCCACCTGGTGTCCCAAACTGACCTTTTATGGTACCCAGATGTAACTACCTCCTTTCTCCTGACCACCGTTTTTTTGGCTTTTGTGCAGATTTCTTTCTAAAATGCTGAAATGAATCTTTTAAAGCTTAGTTATTGGCAACATGAGCCTTAAGCTACAATATATTTGGAATTTTGTTGTTCTTTTAGGCACATGTCCTTTTACACTTGGCCCCACCAGTCACTGGAATGCAATTCTCAAGAGTTCTTCTGAAATCAAATTTGGGCCTTGAGCTGAAAGAGGTTCACTATTCTGTTGTAAATTGTGCATTTATGCACCTAGCAGATACTGATTTCTGAGAATAAGTTTGATGGCTCTTTAAGACAAGTTTATTATAGTTCACTGGCCCCGGTTTGTTTTTAATTATACATGAGCATCTCTAAATCCCAAAGCTAAAATAAAAATATACTTGTTCTGTTCCAGATTTCCATATGCAATGGACACTGATCTCAGTTCCCAGGATAGGAAGGACCTGGACAAGTTCATCAAATTTTTTGCCTTGAAGGTAGCTATTTGTTAAAATGTGTTTTTTTATTTTTGTGTTGTAAAAAGCAAACTCCTTATAATTGTCTCAATATCACTAGTTTCATTAAAACATTTTTGCATATGCATTTAAGTCTTTTCAACCAGCATTTTCTGCAATTCTTTGATCAAATAGGTTTCTGAAAATATGTTGTTGTTGTTTGTCGCGAAGTCATGTCCAACCTATCGCGACCCCATGGACAACATTCCTCCAGGCCTTCCTGTCCTCCACCATCTCCCAGAATCCACCCAAGCTCACACCAACTGCTTCAGTGACTCCATCTAGCCACCTCATCCTCTGCCATCCCCTTCTTCTTTTGCCATCTATTGTTCCCAGCATTAGACTCTTCTCCAGGGACTCCTTCCTTCTCATTAGGTGGCCAAAGTATTTGAGTTTCATCTCAGGATCTGGCCTTCTAAAGAGCAGTCAGGGTTGATCTCCTCTAGGACTGACCGGTTTGATTGCCTTGCAGTCCAAAAGACTCGCAGAAGTCTCCTCCAGCACCACAATTCAAAGGCCTCAATCCTTTGGCACTCAGCCTTCCTTATGGTGCAGCTTTCACAGCCATACATTGCAACTGGGAAAACCATAGCCTTGACTATACGCACTTTTGTTGGCAGGGTGATGTCTCTGCTTTTTAGTATGCTGTCTAGATTTGCCATAGCTTTCCTCCCCAGGAGCGAGTGTCTTTTAATTTCTTGGCTGCAGTCCCCATCTGCGGTGATCTTGGAGCCCAGGAAAATAAAATCTGTCGCTACCTCCATTTCTTCCCCATCTATTTGCCAGGAAGTGAGAGAACTAGATGTCATGATCTTAGTTTTCTTAATGTTGAATTTCAAGCCAACTTTTGCACTCTCCTCCTTCACCTACATCAAGAGGCTCTTTAGTTCCTCTTCACTTTCTGCCATGAGAGTGGTATCATCTGCCTATCTGAGGTGGTTGATATTTCTCCCAGCGATCTTAATTCCAACTGGTGATTCATCTAGCCCTGCCTTTCTCATGATGTGCTCTGCATATAAGTTAAATAGGCAGGGCAACAGTATACAGCCTTGCCAAACTCCTTTCTCAATTTTGAACCGATCAGTGGTTCCATGTCCAGTTCTCACTGTTGCTTCTTGACCCGCATATAGGTTTCTCAAGAGACAGATAAGATGGACTGGTACTCCCATCTCTTTAAGAACTTGCCACAATTTGTTGTGATCCACACAAGCAAAAGCTTTAGCATAGTCAATGAAGCAGAAATAGATGTTTTTCTGGAACTCCCTAGCTTTCTCCATGATCCAGCATATGTTGGCAATTTGATCTCTAGTTCCTCTCCCTCTTGGAAATCCTGCCTGTACTTCTGGTAGATCTTGGCCCATATACTGCTGGAGCCTAGCTTGTAGGATTTTGAGCATAACTTTGCTAGCATGTGAAATGAGTGCAATGCTGCGGTAGTTTGAACATTCTTTGGCATTGCCATTCTTTGGGATCGGAAGGTCAACTGACCTTTTCCAATCCTGTGGCCACTGTTGAGTTTTCCAAATTTGCTGGCATATTGAGTGTAGCACTTTTACTGCATCGTCTTTTAGGATTTTGA